GAACCATGTGTCAGCCCTTGGTGGCGTGTTTTGCAATGTTGACCGAAATCATGATTTTGGATAAAACCTCCAGATTTACGTCCTACGGAATTTTGACTGATCTGTATACCTGGAATTTTGACTGATCTGTATACCTTTTCTAGAACAGTAGAAATTGCCACATCCATCCCCATAATCCAACAGACAGTCCGGCGCATCATCCGTACAAGGATGACAGTTCCTGAAGGTCCAAGGACCCAAATAGTAGAGTTCTACGGCACAAAATACGATTAATCTTCTAGTAGTTGGGCCCTAAAACCCTATTGTTTCTGCCCCTATATACTTAATCCCCAAATATCCCTAGATATCCCCCTATTACCCCTTTAAAGGGACCCTATTATTTGGGTCCTTGGACCCTTAGAAAGAAGCAACCCATCCTGAGGCCCTAGACCATTGGATAACCCTAGGGCTTGGGCTGCTGACCAGGTTTAAGGTTTTAGGGTTTCAGGGTTTAGGGTTTAGGGGTTTAGGATTTTGGGGTTTTAGGGTTTGGGGTTTTTGGGTTTAGACTTTAGGGTTCATCAAACATACAGATCCCGGTATATCCATACAAGCCCTCAGTCAACTTGCTTTCCATGCTCTTCTCCATTCGATTCCGCCCGTTCTTGCTGAAATCGAATTTTCCGGCGAACTAACCAAATAAGCCACAACTCGGCAAAAGACGATAGAAGCTACCCTAGGTTTGCCTGTTTACGGTTTTAGGGCTAAGGGAATGGAGAAGAAAATAGCAACTGCCAGGTTATTGGGGACTGTATAGGCCTTCGAATGCTCTAGAAGTTCATTCCCCAATTCTCTTCTTACAACAAGACACAGTCTGAAAAGGGAACTCCTGAGGCCGAACGTTGGGCCACAAAAACAACAACTTATACAGGGGTTATATAGGAAAATCTAAAGGTGTTAGATAGGGAGCATATAGGCATAATGGCAAAGAGGATGGAAGCTACTATGTAGGAGGACTGTCCTTACATTACCTCACACGGTTTAAGGTTTGGGGGTTTAGGGTGGTGATCATGTGGCATTGCAGTCAGCGCATCGTCCGATGCTTGGCCCCTGGCGCTTCTTCAAGCTCCCCCCTGGACGTGTAAAACCTTGGCACGGTGATGGTCAGACGAAAACTCTGGCAAGGAATAGGATATGATGCCGCAGGACTTGTGGAAAAAAAATGGTCATGGGTCTCCCCTGGATATTCCATCTTCACGTAGAATAGCTTGGGCACAGAAAGTATATGATGCACCCCGGACGTGTAGAGCCTTCGTTCTGAACTTGCCCTTCGACTTCTAGTGGGAGGGGAATACCCGATTATCATATAGTAGTTTCCCTTTTCTTTTTCATTATCCCTATATCCCAATATAACCCTAGATCAACCCCAATATAACCCTAATAGTACCTTAAATTAGCCCCAATAGAACCCTAATATTGACCTAAATGAAGCCCCATATAACCCTCACAAGTTCTGGGGATGTGCCCTGCTGGGCTCCACAGGTCAGAAAGTGAGGTCGGAGCCTGGGTTTGGTAGGGGGTATACAGGGGTTATATGGATGTTTCCGGCTAAATACATTCGGGTTTTATGGGGTATATTTAGGGCTATATATTGGGTGTTTTTTAGGGATAATGGAAAAGAAAATGGAAGCTACTAATTTTAAAGGATTAATATAATAATAGGGGTATATATTGGGGTTATACAAGGGTTATATAGAGATAATGGAAAAAGAACATGGAAGCTACTATGCAGGGTTTAGAGGTTTAGGGGCTTCATGGGTCTGCCACAATTTGTTCAATTCCACTACAACTCTATGCGCTTTTACTCATGAAAGTAATGAGGACGACAATTACGAAATAACCTAGGCTAGTTTGAAGTACCTCCCCGGCATCCAAGCCAGCATCAGAAGGGGAAGGTCGGTTGATGTGGGCAGAGAGGTAGATACCTTCCCTAAACCCTAAACCCTAAATCAAGGGGTTCATGTTCGGCTCATTGAACCCTACACACCAAACCTTAGACCCTAAAACTCTAGATCGTGAATCATCTAATTTATCCCTTTCAATTCCCATGGTACATCCTTATATACCCTAAACTTAAACCCTAAGCCCAAATGAGCCATGGTCTAAACTCCTAGCATCCCCTCTAGTAACCTCTAAAAGCCTATAACTCTCCCCGATCTACTCCTCTGTATAACACCCTTTAAGGAGTGTAGACCCTAAACCCTAATCCCTAAAACCTAAACCCTATATAATCCATATACAGCACGCTTTAAAGAGTTTAGACTATAGCACAAATAAGGTCAGTGCTTGATCAGCTCATTGAAGGCTTCCCAGTTCAATGAGATGCCCTCCCACTCAAAGCGGTCCAGCCACGCCTAGCAAGAAGAAGAATGATTACTATTACTATTACTATTACTATTGCTATCACTGGTACTATTACCATTACCTCTACCATTACCTATAACAAGTACACTTACTATGACGATTACTAATATTCTTAGCCATTATTACTATGAGTATTACTGTTACTATTGTGGTAAGCTCTAGGGTTTTTTTCAGCTGAGGGCTGAAACTTAGGGTTTTTCAGGATTCGGGTCTCGGATTTAGGGTGTAGCGTTTATTCCTTAGGCTAGTATTTAGTGTCTGGGGCGTAGTGTTTTGAGCTGAGGTTCTTCGTCTGTTGCCAAATGGGGGTTTCCCAAAATTGGGGGTACCCAATTAGGGGTCCCCATAATAAGGATTATAGTATATTGGGGTCTATACTGGGGTCCCCTTGTTTTGGGAAACTACCAAATATACTTAACATTAGTAAACATTATAAGTATTTGGGCCCTAAGAGCCTTTTATTTAGGTTCTTGGACCCTTAGGGTGAGCTTTTGATGACACGGCAAGCTCCGTGGGGCGAGAAGGACGCCGTTGCATACCTCCTGAAAGACAAACTGATTAGCTTCAAAGTCGAGTACGTGCGAGGGACATGTGCCAGAGACATCCCCCTCATTTTGAAACAATCTAGGTGGATGGGCAGCATGAAGGCATAAGTTAGGCTACGCCGGATTGGCTGTACATGTGTCCCTTCCATTTGTAGGAGCGGGATGCCCAAACTGATGCCAAGGCTGCTTTTGCTATACAAAAGCTCGCAGAAGCCTGATCGACTTGTAAAGCTTCAGGCATGTCATGGCTGAGATGTTGCGGTCAACATCCCACGCCAGGCACGCCTACCAGGCTCCTGGAACCAAAACTTAAGGCCACCCATCCTAATCGCGCCCCCTGTGACAAAAAAAACACGCACCCTCAGAGAATAAATCTTGGTTACACCTCTGGACGGTCATGACTTGGAAACATTCACTATCGTCGGGTGAGAGGCTTCTTGCTGGGGGAACGGGACTAAGTCCGAAACCAAACAAAATCACTCGTGCTCCTCAGGAGGTTAGCTTCATTTTGAAGCATTGGATCTACTGTTCAGAACACACCTTGCCCAACGCGGTGCTTGTTGCGCAGCTCTTCAGCACTCTTCTGCATGTCCTTGGCTAGGCCGGCTAGGCAGCTAGGCATTTGGACACTTCGTGTGCTGCATGGGCCTAAAAACCGCTGATTGCACCAGGCCTTTGCATCATATTCGACTTTGGTTCGAGTTATTGGGGGTGCTGCGGCACATTAATTATTACAAATTATGTAGGCCTCTTCTACATTGGGCTGCTGCTTGAACACAGAAAAACGGCAGCCTGTCCGCACAAGGACAGTTCGTGCCGGAAAGAAACCAAACACACGCGCAAGGTGGTGCCCCAAAACGGTACAGCATGTTGGCAGTCCATGAGGGGCCATGCCTCATGTGAAACCTCTGTAGGCTTTCCGGAGTCTTCGGCGCCTATGTCATACTGTATAAAGATGTATGAAGCCTACCCATAACCCCAAATACCTACACCTTGGTGCTAACAACCCCCTAGCTACGAGGTATAACAGGAAGACCTGACTTACACCTTGAAAGTCTTAAGCCTTCCGTCCGTGTGTCCAGGTATGCGTCCAGAGACTTGTCGGCGTCAAACTTTCCCAGCGTAGCCTCTGAGACCTTCTGGGCCTTTGCGCTGAGTGGTCCGGAGCCCTCCCGCTACGTGCTTCTCCGAACATGGCTGCTTGTGATGAGGATGTAGGGTTTTGTATAAGGGGAGGTTGGAGGTCCCTCTGAAGGAGCTTCAAACGAGAAACCCAAGAGGCAATTAGCCGCCATTGCCTGCTTTTTTTCTCATAACTATTGTGATAATAGCGTAACGTACTACTACTTTTCGTACAGTATGATTATTATACCCTCAAGACCGGTGCCCGCAAGAACTAAACGTATGCTCTTGTTGGCCTTTGCTCGCTTGCCGGCCATGGATGTCTGCGTTGCCCCCTTCTTCTCCGCAAGGCCTTCGACCTGAAAAGTGGGTTTTGTTGAGGTAAGTAATGTTGGACCTCCTTTTGCCTACCGGCCCCCTATAATGAGTTGAGGGCCCGGCCTATTCAGGATCAGGGCAATGATTGGAAGGTCCCCTATAATGAGTTTCGATTTTGAGGGCCTAAAACTATAGGAAGGATTCTCAACAATCCCTTCTAAATCAATCTACAGGGGCCTCAGAAGGGTGGGAGCTCAGGGGGACGTATTGAGGATCCCTAATTTCTATTTTTCGGAGGGCCCTAATGTTAGTTAGGGGGGGAGCAGCGGGGGAGGCCCCCCTTATTAAAGAGGGTCCAACATTAGCTGCAGTAGGAGAAAGAGAAGAATAGCTACCACGTTCACATCACAGACCCTCTTTGGACCAAGAACCAGCACCTCGCGCAGCAAGGCAGGGTACTTGGGAGCCTCGGCC